CGGAGGCAGGCAATAAGACATTGGTTGGTCCGAGGCAGGAGGGGCTGTGCTCAAGTCACTTCCTTCCTTCCTTCCTTCCTTCCTTCCTTCCTCCTTTCCTGCATCACCCCCCCTTGGACGAGTCCTCTTTGCCCCCTCGGCCACGCCTCACCACGACAAAATATTGTTGGACCTTGCGCGCACGAGTGGGTTGGGTTTCGTGTTGGTCCTTCGTCTGCTGCTTGCTTCAAAGTACATAATATATTTTGTACTGGCACCTCGTGATAATGCTGCTGCTGCTGCTGTGGTTGGTGTTGTTGCCCGTTGTTTTGTTTTGTGGCACAGGTTAGCGCGTTGATCCACACCGCCAACAGGGACTACAAGTCCCTCATCGAGGACCTGGTGGCCTTGGACGTGCTCCCGGCCGACACGGACCGAGGACAGGTTTGTAGTGACTGTGCGGTCAACCTAGGGCTGGGGTTAGACATCAAGAGCACACCCACACCATGAACGCGTTGCTCTTCTCCCAACCAACCAACCAACAACCAGTAGAATCGTCGAGACTTGTAATTTCTATCGCCATGACAGCATCGCTACCAACAAACCAACAACCAGTGGAATCGTCGAGAGTTGTAAATTCTATTCGCCATGACAGCATCGCTACCAACAAACCAACAACCAGTGGAATCGTCGAGAGTTGTATTTTCTATTCGCCGTGACAGCATCGCTACCAACAAACCAACAACCAGTGGAATCGTCGAGAGTTGTAATTTCTATTCGCCATGACAGCATTGCTACCAACGAACCAACCAGCAGCAGTGCACCAACGTCAAGTCCTCCAAAAACATAAACACATCCTTGCAAGTACTTCCACCAGGGTAAACACGCTGTGACAACGCACAATGATTAAAACACGCTTGGAATGGAACAAACAGGTGGAGCCCGTGATGAAGCGGGTGATCGGTCCTTACGTCTTCGAGGGGGGTGGCGCGAAGAGTCTCAACTACCAGAGCCTGGCGAGGGACCTGGCTCGGGCGACTCTCGAGATCCCCTTCAACATCCCGCCCTACTTCGCGCTCATCGCGAGGGCGTTGGGGATTCTGGAAGGTTCGTGCTGCTGCTGTTTCGACGAGAGTTCGTTGCCGCTGTCAGTGTTTTTTTTTGCTGCATACGAAAACACCAACAATTTTCATCATCTGGTAACGTATTGCTTCGGTTCGCGCATGTAAATGGCGGTTTGATCAGCTACTTCTTTTTTAATGTATCTTTTCTCTCTCTCTTTCTCTAGCTCCTCTCTCCCTCCCTCTCTCCCTCTCTCTCTCTCTCTCTCTCTCTCTCTCTCTCTCTCTCTCCCTCTCTCTCTCTCTCTCTCTCTCTCTCTCTC